ATTTACCTWATATAATCGTATATAAACGCGGTAATTGTATGTATGTGTRTGTCGTACGGTGGCTGAAAAACAAATTACACATTGAATACTAAATGGTATAATGTGGCGACGGCGGTCCTACTGACCTATAGACAATCGAGGGCCGAAAACAATATCACGTTTATTGATTCAATAGTTTGTAATTTGTATTTCATTCTAGCTATTGTGTTGTTTCTGCTGTCTCGATGAACAAAAAAAATTTAAAACAATTGAAATCGTAAAAACATAATATTATATAGGTAATAATATCCAGGTCCTGCAGTATACTCAATGATATCAAAGTGGCTTATACTTTCATAACGATATATTTTGGCGCCCACGTTTTGAATTTCATGTTGTTGCCGCCGTCTTACAATATATATAGGTAGGTACACAATATAAACGACCACGTGTGAATACTATTGTATGTATAGGCATATACCTACCTAATAGTTTAAATAAATACACTAGCGTTGTATATATATATATAACAAAAAGGTACTATATTATATATTGTATATGTATATTATTTGGTCTGATATTACATATTATCTATGTATACTGCGTAATACATGATTTTGCTTCAGTATAATCTTTACGGTTCTTATGCACAAGAAAGAACAAGTTGTTATTTATTTAGATGGTATACCTACACACCGACAATTGGTATCCGTGTTTGGGAGCTCCTTATTATCGCTCGCATTATGTAGGTGTACATGAATAATTATATACATATGTATAATAGGAAKATTATACATATAGGTATACCTGATTAACTCACCTTATTAATTATTAATAACCCGAGGTAGTTCTAATTAGGACAAAACAGGTCATACTAGAAGCATTGTTATTGTGATTATTTTCGCTTTTTTTCTTCTTCACTCTCTCCCGTGTGTTCACAAATCCGCTGTCTGGTTTAAATAATTATATTATTATATTTTATAATCGTCACGCTTAAAAACATGTACRAAATACATAGGTATAATATATATAAACCTGGCCACCTAGGTACCTACGTATATATTTTATTGATACATAATATAAATTATATAGTTCCGAAAGTCCTGTTCATGTGGCGTATAATGTTTTCAGCCCAACGTTCGGCTCAAAACGAAATTTCAATACAAACCAATATAATATACATAATAYCTACATACCATRATCGTTATATCGCGTGCCTGAAAACTAGCAGTGTCCCCTTTATATGTTACACTTACAATACTGTTATACCTGTTTAATAATAATATGGTTGTTTAAAATAATCTTTCAATGTTGTGTGTCGCCGTGTAAAAATTATGGAAACATGTTTACGTATTTGCTCCGGTAGTCTATGCGCCAGAATAAACGACTATATTATTATAAAAAAACCTAGTCACTGTGCATATAAGTATACGTACCTATGTATTGTTTTCGGAAATTCAATCAAAACACATGAATATATTATATGTATATATAAGTAGGTACTTGCGAAAAAATTGATTCCTATATAATACCCTCTTTCGCACCCCACTCTCGTGTTATAATATAATATTATATATAACCATATATATTATTTTTATGTGATTTTTTTCCCAAGTTATCGCCTTTGCATTACTGTACGACCCCTCTTTCGAGAAAAGTGTAGATTATAATATAGGTATATATGTATGTGTATAGCGTGTATACATGTATATTTATTTGTTTTTGACACGCAAACGGATTATCGCGTGGGTGACAACCATCGCGAACGATGTTTGCACCGCGCGAAATCTAATATCCGACTTATAGCCGTGTGTAGTTCTATATACTTGGCCGAGTGAAATATTTATTTGTTTACCCACCGGGTAAATCGTTGAAACGGCCAGATACATTTGAACGAAATATGTCATCTTAGGTTCATACATATACACACACGTATTGGTGCACAGTGCACATGCAACATAATATGTATGGTTATAATAGATTAGAATGGTTAAGGTTCTATTATTTTAAAATGTTATAATCAGACGATTTAAATAGGTAAATATCCTATCCCATGTACATATACTATTGACATACAGATGAACGAGGAAATACGAATTATCGTTTTAGTATTYATTTATAATATTGTTAATTCGACTAAACCGTATTTYGTGTATATAATTAAAATGCATTATAATAAACTTATGTTTTCAGCTCTCTTACATTCATTCAAACATATTTTATCATTACAGTATAGATACCTTCTGCACTAATAACACATATTATAACATAATATATATTATAAATATCCCAAAAAACGTTCAATGCTCGTGTACCAATTATATGTGACTATATATTTATATTCTCACTATAGATATTTGCAGATTTAKCAATACTCATGATAATAATATACGGTTCTATTTTCTAAATATAACGTTGGCGGTATTATATYTATAATTAATTATAAATTTATAAAATATGTTGTACACATCGAGCGACCTGTTATTTTAATTGAAAATAAATCGTAGTTTAAATGTTTAATGTAGTTAAAGCATAAACATAAACATACATATATTTCTTTTTGATGGAATAAAATGTATACGAATAATATTTCTTCAATATGATAATACTGCCGCGTATAACTTAGAACGAACTTAGTTAAACAGTAATAATAGGTACTATTTTTACATGATAACATTGAATATTGATCTTACAGTTATTTAAAATTAGAAACATTCAAATGCAAAATAATATACTATTATACCTACATATTATTATCATAACAAAATATAATAAAGAATGAATAATATGATGCGTAATTTCATTTTATTGGTTTGCTTATAATCTACCATAATTAAATTTATTATATATCAGTCCAGTTGAAAATTCGAACAATTTTAAGGTATGTACCTCCTACAAGAAAAATTTTTCAATATAATATTACACTTAATAATCATTAGGTACCATAAAACAATAAATTCGAGTATGCATCATTAACTTTGTTTTAGTTTATTACCTACTTAAAATTATAATAAAAATATAATTATACAATGTCTGGATTTAAATATAAAATGGAAGACAATAAACGGAATGTATTGTGTTCAAAGTAGTAATTTAATATTATGTTACAATAATAATATGTTTAATACATGCGGGCTCATTGCGTACGATATGCATTTGGGTAGGAGGAGCGTAAATGGTTGCCGCCATTCGTTCTACTTTCGTATATTATATGATATAAAATAATATAGCATAGAATTTATAGAGGTGTGGGTCTAAACGACTCCGCAGTAATATTTGATGACACTCGGTGACCAATAATAAAACGTGTCTATATATTTTTAAATATCAGAATATTCCCAAACGTCTGGGGACATCAGTTTTCACTACAAATTCCCGGTTTTTCAACAATTTTGTGCATGAAGTGTATGTACATTGATTGAAAAAAGAAACTAGGTTTTCCTCGCATGCGAGGCTGGTGCAYCAACCTATATCCGTATAAAAATGCTTGTCTATTTCGTGGTATAGATGAGGGGTTCGTGTTACAACAATTGAAATGCGGGAATATCTGGTACCTACACTATTTTCTCATAAGAAATCTCCGGTCTTTGTAACGGAAATTTCTGGACGGGACAGCATATACATATAGCTGTAGGTACTAATACAGTTAGGTACCTACTATACGTATTATAATACAAATACCGTTCCCAAAAACCAATACACGATCGTGGTTTTACGATGCATGGATTCGGTTAAAAATAATTTTCTACAGATCCTATGAATATATCGATTGCTGTATCCTGTTTCCGTGTATGGTATTGGCAATATATATAAAGGTATACACCCGTTATTACCATATAGGTACAGGTGTAAATCCGTCACTCGCTACCGCAAAAGTAATACGTATAATATTATATAGGTATGGGGACAGGAACGCGAATCGCGAGGAAATAGTTTTCGGTCGGACGAAATCCAAGTATACCTATCTATATATAGATGGGTACCTACGATGATACGAATGCATATATATATTATATAGACGTAGCGTGTTACACCACATCCCTATTCAAATCGAGCGCCCATACAAAATCATTGTCTATATATAATATTATATATAGCCATATATTACATGCAGAGTATATATATTATATATACCTATACCGTTATACAGCCGTTGTGTACTGCAACTTGCTTAACAACGACTGTTATATAGTGGGCATATATAGGTACATACAGTCGGCTTGTCACTCGTATAATATATGTATTATATACGTCTAGTTACCGTATGCCTATTCGGATTTTCGTTCGTCCAATCCGTCGTGTAATATCATATCACATGGATTTCGCTTAAAATATAATATTATATTGTTCCGTCAAAAATCACGTCCTCCTGCGCACGCTGCAGCCGTTTTATTATTATCATTATTGTTAYTGTACGAAACATATATTATTATTATAAGTGTGTGTGAGTGTGTGTGACACTCGTCAAAATCCGATGATCCGTGTGACATCGCTCGTCGCCAGTTGTTGCAGCAGACGACAACTACTGTCGAAAAACGTAACAATATAACATAATAACAATAATGTTACATTTGACATGGTTTTTAACGGTACGAATCACACGGCTCGTTGACTCTGGTCTGCCGTCGACGTATATTATATATACGTCAAATTGTATATTTTTTTCTGCTGCAGGTACATAATATATGTGTTGTACTGCGCGTTTGGTACGTTCTGTGATCGAAGTTATCATTATCATTATAACATTGCAATTATTAAAGCAATTTTTCACGGAATATAAATGCCTATAGGTACTTCAATACTTGTTTATACTTCTATGASTATGTACGATTTTTGTACACCTTCTAATCCACTTGTRTTTAATGAATCTCGACTAGAAAAGTATATAACTTTACTTATACAATATTATAACAACTATGTATAGTTATAGGTACCTATATAACGGAACAGCCTAAAAAACATATAGTTGTATTATATATTGTCAACGTATTATATTCTAATAATACATTTTTCGTTTACAGACCACATCGTTAGTGCCGCCGCAGTCTCTGTTACCACAGCCGCCGCACACGTCTTCGTCGTCATCTTCGAGCCCACCTYCCTTACAGCTATCGCTCACCGCGGCCCGACGACACACTTCCGTCTCGCCGCAACCACCGTCTTCAACCGCAAGCGGCCACAACTCGTCTCCGCCGCCACCCCATCAGCCACGGTCAACCGTCGGTGGATCAACTACAGCATCAGCGGCTCTACCGCCGTCGTCCGTCACCGGCAGTCCCACCACGGCCGTAGCCACGGTCAGCACGTCCACAGCCGCGGCCGCGGCCGCTGCACCCCCACGGTGCTGCGACACCGGCCGACCCATATTCACCGACCCCATCACCGGGCAGACGGTGTGCTCGTGTCAGTACGACCTGCTCAGCTACCAACGGCTGGCCGCTTCAGGAGTACCGGCCCTGTCTATGTATACCGCGCCGTATCCGGAGGGCATGGCCGCCTACTTTCCGGCCCTCGGCTCTGACCAGCCCCCGTTCTACTCTGCCGTAAGTACCTATCTGTTAATTAAACGCCAGACGGACTGTAATAGCACCACTCCGTATACACACCATGACGTAGGTAGTAGAATTTGTTTATGAGCTTATGGCCTCATTTTTCTATATTATATATATGTGTTGAAAATGATTAAATTGAATGAATAATATTTTAATACGATGTTCATTAACTGCTACGATTACTTATAAATTTATAATAAACATTTGGTTTATCCGAACAAGTATAATGACGGAAATATTTCATATTCAATTCACGTAGGCATCTATATCTGTGTTGATGTCTCCGTATAATTAGGGGTTTTTTCTGTGGTGGGTATAAGAACATTTATTTAATTAATAAGCTATACCTATAATTATAATTTTACTGATAATATTTTATTTATTAAATTCAATTTAAATATACCTTTATATGTATATGTATAGAAGACACAAATGTTATGAAACAATAATTACCTATTTACATTGATCTGCATTTTAAACAACATATTACAATTATTTTCGATTGCGGGGAATTATATTTAGTATTATCTATTTATATACGCGTGTACCTAATACTGTAATGTGCAAAGGGTATCCATTATGCCTATAAGTGTGCACAAGTAATCTATCACAAAAGAAAACTATTTCGGTTATATTTTATCTGTAGTCTACTCGTGTAATACCATACAATATAATATAACGACAGAATATTATGATATCTATACTGGTGTACTTTGAAAAATTAACCTCGTGTTATCAACCTTTAATAGACACGATTCTCGTGTGTTCGGCACATAACTCGTGTATGCCGTTATGGCCCGAACGTAAAAATAATGTGCACATATTATTATAATTTATAGAACCTTTATTCCGCATGTCAGCCATTGTTTTTAACACAATTCAACCCCTTGTTCAATCTTATAGATTTATCCACCCTGTATTCCATCCGGTGTATCGTATATAATACCCTTTAGGTATTACCCAGATGTATTATATAGATTCTTATATAGGTATTATAATATCTATACATTATTTAAAATACGTATATGGTAGTGCTTAAATTGCTAGCACCGATGCGTGTATAATATAATATATATACACTTGTAAGTTTGCATATATTCATAGTATTTTAATGCATCACTTAACATAATTTATAAATATATTTCATATTTATAAAGGAATAACAATAATATATATCTCCAGTTCGTTGGAGATATCATCATTCATCATACATTATAATATACAAAAACGATTTCGTGAAATCGCCGAGTAGGTATATAAAATATACATTTCATGGATGTATTTTTTTTATATGCACACAGTATTAAGGTATCTATATAAAAACGATATAATTAGCATAATATACATCATATTTTCTTTCCTTGTCGAAGGATATTTGTACGGAGCGGACAAAAAACCCCAAGTCCAACACGTCACGTCCGTGTCATATATGATAATATATACTTCGCATCAATGTGATGTGACGGCGTTGTGATCCATTGTTCATATATGCTTATATATATCTATATAATCTATATTATATAATTAGGTCGAGTGTACCTATATAGTAGAAAGCTTGTATTATTATATTGTAACGACCGTCGTATACATGGGATACGTAAAATACTACTCTGCAGTACCCATATTATTTTGTGTTGTATAATATAACGTTAATAAACGAGTTCACCCTAATAACGCTTGTATGTATGATAATATATTTTATTATTATTAATATTATATATATTTTTGTGTGTGTGCAGGCCGCAGCGGGACTTGATCTCAAAGAGAACTTGGCAGCTGGAGCTACATGGCCATACCACTCGGTCTATCACCCCTACGATGCGGCATTCGGGTACCCTTTCAACGGGTGAGTACCCCCAAAAATACACATATATATTTAAAAAAATACATATATATAATACACATATATACTAGGGTTGCAAGGGCAGAGCAAAAGCATAACAATATATTATATTATTTTACGCATGTGCAGTGTGTGTGTGTGTGTATACGATAAACGTATTTATGTATATGTACACACGTATGTATATTGTATTTATGTTCACCTAAAACAACAATGCGTCGAACGGTCGTCCGTCCAATAAGAGTGGCGTATATTATATAATCTAACGCAATATATAATATATATATATATATATATATAAGTTTAATATGTACCTATACATAGTTTTTCGATGGGGTGCAGGAGAGTACCGTATGCCACCGCGGATAATGTTAATTTCAATTCTTTTCTGTCGTCTGTTCGAAACATCATCGTGATGACTTATAATTATATATATTTATCCATATATCTATTCGTCCTTTAATGTCGCGGGTACTTACTAAAATGAACATCATAGTTTTACCTCCACCTGGTGACTGATACATACTTTATAGTTATTAAATATTTTTCAATCATATAACAAAATACGATGTTAATTTGTTGCAAGTCTATAACTGGTTTTTGATTGTCTATTTTATTTAAAGTAACATATTATTCAATTGCGATTTTCTTCGCTCACGCGTATAAAGTTTTTGCGTTCGTAYCCCTTACCACATCAAATTTAAATATAGGTACCTTATTAATTATTATAATAAAAATCTAGTATAATACCTATATATTATTAAATTAAATATTTCAATATGTCATTTCGCCATGTATTGTATTCATATATGGTAAATATGTAAATATTCCATGTGAATCAATAGATACTATACAATAATTAATTATATTTGAATAATTTATAGTATATTATTATACATAATATCTTTCCTACGTTAAAATAGTATAGATACTTACCAACAGATAATACCATGTGCCACACAAGCATATTATGTTTCAACTTAAGGTTTTGTAATTTTACTGGATTTATATATATATGTTTCATGATGTATAAAAWTAAATGTGCTTCCATCTTAAATTCTATATAACATTTGTGTGTACTGTATATACCTATATTATACCTTACATTTTACCTTCGTTATATTATCTACCTATAGTATTAATAATAACTCCCGTGTGTTATTTTATACCTTTTATTATCATTATATATTAATGTGCCTATAGAATTATAACAATTATTACATTATTTACAAGCTATACAGCGGGTAAATATATCTCAACTTTTTATACAAAGTATAAAAAAACCCACGCAAAACTAACGTACTCATATAAAATTATATAGATCACATAAAATATTAAATTGCTATGTTACAAATATTTATTTATCCTACTTATATATGTAGGTATCTACATATTCTATACCACCCCAACTAGTATTACGTACATTATTATTTGTTTCATGAAACATATTCAATAAAGGTTAGGTTAGTTTTCTTTCAATTTGCAATTATGATTTAACATTTTTTAATCAAATGTGGTTCATTCATATAAATAATGTATTAAACTTTAATAACTATATGATAATATTTTTTATATTATATTATGGTTATTGTATTTTTTACTTTTTAATATTTTGCTTATAAACAATGCATAGGTTTCTAAAATTGTAAGTTTACAACGTTACAAATTCTAGGTTAACAAGTTAACTGTACATAAAATGTTAATTTTTAAGTACTACAAAAGTATAATGCTTATTAAAAGTTAAACGTCTTTTGGTGGTGTTAAATGGACTTTTGATTACGGTTAACCTTTATAATCACCTCGCGTCGTCTGCWCAATTAAAATGTATATGTAACAAATTTATTGTTAAAATACAATGTGTCAACACGGTTTATATTCTTATATTTGATTTCGTATCTGTGTATATTATTGTATCTATATGCGAAATTGTTTTGATGTGCTTTTTTTTTCATTTTTCATTCCATTTTATAAACAAACTAGTTTTCTAAATCTATTATATTTCTTTCTAAACATTATGTAATAATAATAAAATTATGTATTTGTATGTAGTGTACGCGTTTAATTGATACGATATCTAATTTATCATGTTTGTATATGTGTGTAATATACACAAAGATAATATGGCTTATTGCGGGTGTTAAGAATTGCGAAACATGATTCCAACCGATTAGAAGCTTTATAAGTACAATATATTATAATATTATACTACTAATAATATGCTATATAATATATAAAATAACATACGTCCCACATCGTATTATGACAATCGGTTGACTGAACGGGAATAATATATTATGTATATGTGTAGGCGCAAAAACACATACCTATAATGGGTACCGTTGCAATGCTAGGAATTAGGATATGTTATCCAATATATATATAATATATTATTGGCAATGAATTATTTCAACTATTATTTTTACATTTAATACCCCCACGTGATGTTATAGTAATGTTTTCTGTCTGTTGTATAATAATGTATAGGTAATATGTATAGGTATACACATATAGATTAGCGATTTTGTATTTAGGGCTGATATAATAGATATTATGCTTACCGGGTAGTGCTTTAAAATTAAAAAATATATATATATTAATGAACTACAACAACACAATCATAAAATAAATAAATAAAAGTCCATCTCCGGTGGTGTGCTATATTGTGTGCCGTTGGTTGACCGGATAATGTTTATAAAAACCATATCACGTTTATATATATATTATAATAAAGAGCCGACGATTTTTCCATTGAAAAATAATAATAATATTTAAAACACCATTACGAGTTTTCATCTTGCAAAAAAATAGCCGGGCACGCATATTATGATTCTCGCGCGGATGGAGTAAAAAAAGTTCTATATAATGGGCGATTCGTGTTATCGATGTTGATGATAATGATGAAAGCCAGTACGACTATCCCTTCGGAAAGCCGATTTTTTTTCGCTCACGACCCCTGTATAATATTGTTTCACTTATACATTATTCCGAACCGGAACGCTGTAAAAAAAGGGRAAAAAGTGTTACGTTAAAAGCTTTGTCCACTTTTCAGTAGGTAGGTAGGTTAATTCTTTTTTCTCCAAACGTCGCGTATACAACCTRCAATGACAACGATTTCTATGTCAGCCGTATGGCGGCCTTTGTAAATCTGTAACTTTTGAGTGTTCATACGGAATCTTATTTTCATTCGCTTATGTACGAATACCCATAACTCCTTATATTTTACCCCATATAGGATGTAATACCTATAGATATTAGAATTTTGCAAAATATTTATTATATACGCAATCAATATTTAAATATAATTTGTATGAAAAAATGTATCATTTAATATGACTTAAAAGTATATTTGTATATCTACTTTTTTTTTGTTACTCCAAATGGGTATATCTTGTAAGTTAAAATGTTTGTACAAATAACATTATATACGCGTAAAAAAGTGAGAAAAATTAATCGTTTAACCAAAAATGTCAGGTCATCAATTGGATACATTCCAAAATGCATATATGATAATTATATTTAACTTGAAATTAATAGGTATATAACGCGCTAGCTATAACGAAAATATTTATTCTTCAGTCGTTAACGAATTTTATCATCATATTTTCAACATCAAACAAATTTTGTTATTATATATTCTTATTTCTCTTATTAAAATAGACTAGTATTTTTAATTTTCCTTCGAAGACACTTAATGCGTGACACGCAGTAAAATTATACTATACTCATATTAGTATGTGCATATGATGATATTAAGTTTTTAAAATTATTCCTCAAGCTCATTTTTATTGGCAAATTGGAGTTATTTCATATAGCTTGTGGTATATGATATGATGCTTATAATATATTTATATTAAGACAGATTAATAAACATGACGTTAGTTTAACTCATTAAAATTATAATCACTGGTGTGTATATTAAATATAATGTATAGTAATATTATATGATTGTATAATAAAATATTATATTACGTCATTATGTCATTATTACATTGTATAGGTATATGTTTTAATATTTTAACGTCTTGGAGAACAATATATATATATGGCTATTTTAATTTTAAAAAGTATATCGTTTTTGGTGGTATTTTTCGATTCGAAACAGGAAAATGGTAAGTTGCAAAATTCTGCATAGAATATTTTGCACCTTAACTGCTTTTGTACCGATTTAAATAATAAGCATATGAAAATTCCTATTCTCGTTAGACGTTGGTAACACTGAACCGTAATTTTGTTGTTTTTACTGTTTTCGCACGTTCTCGTATAATATTATACTTTTATATATTATTATGTGTCTTATACATACACAATATAATATATTACACAACACCCTTATTCCCTTTGGTCAACTGACATGATGTGGTCGTTGTCGAAATCGTCGTGGCTGCCGCCGACCAGCACACAGCCGCCAGATGGTTATGGATGGGTTTTAAGCACGAACGGGTGGTACGAAATGAAAAAATTAAAACTAAAAAAGTAGGTAAAAAAAAGGAAAAATGGTATACCATAATGCCACAAACACATATATACACGCGCGCGCKCACACACACACACACTTAGACAAGCGCGTTTTGGGTGTGGTTTGTTGGCACTGACTCTCTGGGAAAAGATAACAAATATACAGCCGTGCTTTTCGCCATTACACCCGGTAGATAAGGACACAGGAATTTTTATTTTTTCGTTTTAACACTCCTCGTGTTTTATCTGTATATACAACTAACGCGCGCCGCGCGCGTGTGTGTGTGTGTAGGTAGGTATATATACTCGCTTCTGTTTTTCACCGCCGCCGCCGTTGTTCCGACACACAATTTGTTAATGGAATCACGTAGGAAGCCACTCGGCGACGTGTACTGGTTAAGTAGCCGATATGCGTGTATAATAAATCATACCCCGATAACCACGCTTTTGCCGTCGTCGCTGCCGCAGCCACCGCCGACCTCCCTTCAAGTAACAGTCGATTCCAAAATTTTATCAATTTATATTATATAGGTAGCATAAAACATCGA